CCCAGCCCTCCCCTTGACGCTCTTACTGCACACTCTCCCTGTGGGCACATGGATTCCCATCCCTAACTCTCTCTCTAGCCCAGCCACACCTCTTGTGAGTGCCAGACCTATCAACCCACTGCCCTGGATATCGCCCTGATGTCCCTCAGGGCCCCGAATGTCCAAGACTGCACTCCTCCCAACCCATGTCTTCTCCCCACCCCTGTGCAGAGGTTGCCCTCCACCCTGACAGAGCACCACCCTCACCTACCTCACTGTCAAAGCAACTCTTGATTTCGCCAACCCACCTCTCCTGCCACCATCTAGCTTCCAGGTCTGCGACTTCACCTGGGTTCTCTCTCAATCAGCACTTTCAAACCTATCAGCTAGTCTGCTTGGCTCTGCCTCTTGCATGCGCCCCAGCCACACCCTATCCAATGGACTGCCCAGCACGACGCACGCCTGGCCACCACTGCCTTTCTCCCAGCCACAATCAGGCCCTGCTCAAGCCTTCAGGGGTTCCTGCCATACAGAGATGGCCTCCAGGCCCTGGTTACCCCACCATGCCCTGTGGTCCTGTTCACCCTGCTCATGTCAGTGCTTCATCACAATCTACTCCCCCAGAAGGGCTGCCATTCTTGTTACGCAGCTGTTAGCTTAGGGATCACCCCTGACCCTCCTTACTGTCACCCTGTTCATTTCCCCATGATAGTGGTCACTCTCTAAATCTCCTGGTTTTATTTTGCCACCCCCTTGCCCCTCCCCAAGGGCTTCACCTGCTTTGACCACTGCCTGCTGGGCACCTGGCTCACGGCCTCACACCAGGGAAGGACATTCAATCATTGAAGTCACAAAGGCGTGAAAGGGCCAGCAGACTAATGGGTGAGTCCCCACACCCATCCCCAAAGCCAGCTCCACCTGTCCACCCCTCGGCTCTTTCCTCAGTCCCACCCTTCCACTGTACCAATCTCACTTCCCTGGAGCCAGCTCTGACCAGGGCTACCTTGTAACAGCTTCTCGTACACATAGTCCACGTTCAAGGCCACCTTTCAGCCCCACCTACTCCTAACTGGGCCGTTCACTCAGAGTCCGGTGAGGGTACTAAATGACCATCCACAGCCCTGCTCACCCACCCACACACCCCTGGGGACAGCCTAGCTCTAGGAATCGCTGCAGGTGAACATTTCTGGCACCAGGGGTCAGCAGCAACTCATTTATATGGGCCAGCAGGCCAGGTACAGGGGAGCCTGCTGCCCTATCACACTCCAGGCTGGCCAAGCCTTGGGGCCCTTTGCCTCCTGAGGAAACAGAGAGATAGAGGTGAGAGGGGGCCTATCACAGCCAGGAATGGGCCTTGGGAGGACACAACCTCACAGAGTCTCCACAGAAAGGGAAGGAGCAGCAAAGATGACCAGCTAGCCAGGAGGGGCCCATACTGGGGTTAGCCTTGGATGAAGGAAACACGAAGAAGGCAGGGGGGTCCCCAGGTAGAGCCCCAGCAGGTGCCAAGTGGTTATCAAACTGCTTCTACAATGCCTGTTCTTATGAAAGGGGCAGCAGGCTCAGAGGGGGTACAGCTTGCTGCAGCACCACCACCCCGTGAGGACTGCTGGGAGCACTGAAGCAAAGTGCACACATAGCCCCAGACTGCCCTGGCACAAGGCTGCCTGCACATCAGCGGCCACCTGCCTGCAACCAGGATCCCCTCTGCACCAGGGCCCCAGCCTGGCTCACAGACCTGCCCTCACCAGGGCTCTGGATGGTAGCAGCTTAGAATAAGCTGCCTGCACGTCCTTCTTGCCTGGTCAAATCAGTC